AAGGTCGTTCAGTATCCCCGACGAAAACATGGTCGCACTACCCGACATCGAATCCAGATACTGAAGAACGGAAAAGAGCTGCCAAGCGCAGTGGGCAAGGTACAGCAACCGCTTCCAACTGGAAAGCCGCCTATGACAACCTCAGAAGGGTCAGAGCACGCGCAGTGAGCCAAAAGGTGTGCTATTGTTGTGGTTCAAACCAACATCACCTGGCTATTTGTCCCAACACTGAGAAGAAGGACGAGTTGATGAACTCATTCTCTTACATGGAGGAAACTATGCGCAAGTGCTTTACCGAGGACGACAAGGCAATCATCCGACGTGATGTTGAAAGCCGAAAGAGGAAAGCAAAGTCATCCAAAGACGTCGAAGACGAAGACTACATGGATGTGGATGATGAAGATATTGAACTTCCCGAAGAAGAGCCGGAACTAGGAGGTAAGGTACCACCTCACTCTCCGAGAGCCAAAGGTAGACCACAATCGTCAGACTCTGCAAAAGAGGAATACGCGAAAGCGGTCGAGGCAACCAAGAAGGCCTTTGGGAACGCCAGTTTCGTCACCAGATTCAAAGAGCCCGTCGACCTCTTTGACATTGCCGATGACAAAGAAGGAGGAGAGTACAGGGTCGCAAATCACAGGGTTGATAGATCAGGTCCTAATGGAAAGTGGGAACTTGATGCACTTATTCAGGAGGCTGCAGCACTCGGAATAAAGATGCCCAAAGTGAAGGACCTTGCTCCTGACCCACAACAAGTTCAAAAGGTTGGATATCGGCAGATTGAGGTGACTTGCGATAGAGGAAGCATCGAGATCATTCCACAGTACGGAGTTACATTCTATGTGGAGTACTGGAATGGACCGAAGAGAGATGCAACTTTCACGGATCCACCAAAGATGAACCCAGCAACTCGCATCGACAAGTTCAGCGAGGAGAGTCAGAGGGTCAACGAGGTTAGCCATAGACTCAATAGACTACTCAGGCATGGAGTGGGAAAGCATAATGGGATTCAATCGCACCGCGGTCGAAAACCTCATGTGTCCCCGAAGTGCAATGAGGGTGGATGGGTGAACATCGATGAGATCCTGGAATATGACTATGTCTTCAACGATGGTGTCGATATCAGTACTATCCCAGGTGATCGGCATCGTCAAGATGTCAAGACAGAGCGATACCAGTATTTACCTCAAGGCGATGTGGCATGCAAAGAAGTTGCAGAACAGAGTACGCTATCAGATTGCCGCCATTCGCATCTCAAAGGAGGATGTCTCACTCGAAGAGGAAAGGCAATACTGGGCAAACCTCATGTTTTACGGCACAGACGCACCGTCATTTCTGAAGCATGAACGTTGGATCGTTCCTTGTGCAATTCGAGCTGTTGCCTCTCACAATTCTGGAAGAGAGACTGTTCTTGAAGAGGATGTGTCAATATATCCTGTGTGGACTTCACATCTCATTCCAGAGAATGTGGCAATGCAGCTTGGAGGAAGCTTTCACATGACATCGCTTTCCAATATTGAGTCAATCATGAAACTAGGAATTGTCCCTGGTGGAACGGAGGGATATAGAGGTAGTGTTTTCTCCAACCACTTTGCGCCGTGGGATGATCGATCATCAAAGATTCTGAGATCAAGATGGCCAAGAGTGGGAATGCCCGTTTGCCTTTATGTTCCAATCATGACTTTGAGGAAGCTTGGGGGAAGAATTTCGGAGAATTCCTACACTGTTGTTTTTAGAGAAGTTCCATGGAGATGTGTACGAGGTGCTTGGTATTGGGACGACCACGTTCAGGCATGGAGGAGACTCCTGCTGGGAAGCACTGGAGAGCAAGTTGTTCTAGCGGCACGTCATGGACTTTGGGTTGCTCAGAAGCATACCATCCTCGAGAGAGCCGACGAAGTCACGAAGTCAGCCTCGGCGACAGATGATAACGTCCAAAAGCTCGTGTCCCTTATCGATGAAGTACAATTCGATAACAATGGAGAGCTGACCGAGGATTCCATCAGTGAGGAAACTTGGGACGAAATCATCTCCAGAACATGTGAAGGGTATCGCAACGTGGATGGCAATATTTTGTGTCCATCATGTATGCATTTGACTTCTTCATCTTTGTCCGTGTGTCTATCTTGTCAAGGCAGGCTACTCTCGTGTGGTATTCGCAACACTGTCATTTCCGATTCACCCGTTGATCTTGTGAGCGACGATGAAGAGGAAAAGAAGGAAAAGAGGGAGCCTGAACATGATGATCAAGATATATTGGACCAGGCCACTATGGACGAGATCAGAAAGGCTTGGGAAGAAGACATCGCTCAAACTGAAGCAGCTGATGACGACGAGGACATGGACAATCCAGATCCTTCCAAACCGTCTGATGGTGCAGAGAACTTCAAGAGTGACAATGTCGAGACCCCATCTTTCAATGAGGACGAGATCGACTACGGTCGTGATTCTGATCTAGAAGATGAAGACGAACGAAACGTGATCATCGAGATCCAGAGGAGCACACAACAATATGAGGGGAAGAAACGTCAAGATGGTGAGCCCGAGGATGAAGACGTCACCGACGACTTACATCCGGAGGCGAATCGACCGACAGATCGTGATGAACCGGGATACTATGCACAGCATGGAGCGACCGAGTTCAATCCCGAAGAAGGAACCTCCCCATCTATTGTCGAGTACCGGAACCTCGAATCTATGCGCATCAAGAGAGAGCCTACTGTCAGGACGTCTCCATGAATGCATCGGGTTTGATGGATAGGTATGTGGTCAAATGTGTGCTGAACATGATCTCCCTGATGTACAAGAGCTACTATTGCACCAGCCTTACCGACTTCAAAGCAAATTGGAAAAGGAAGCGCCTGGATGTGATAAGCAAGTTCGGTACAGGGGATTCCACTGAAATCGATGACGATGGGAGACCATTGGATCCAACAGATGACATGATGTTAATCTTTGCCAACGACAACAATATTACAACTGAGGAGGCCTGGCACCGATTCAGAGGAGAGCAATTCATTTGCAAGGTGGCACTCGTGATCCTATCATTTGGTCATACTCCGCAATCCTTCAAGGAGGAATATGGCAACTTCGAATACTCCACCAACTTGACTGATGCCCAGCTTGAGGAGTTGAAAGCGAAGAAAGCCAGCGCAATGACTGAATTGGTACAGAAGTGCATCCATGCGATTTATGGGTGTCGGACATACTCTTACTTTAGAACCGACATTACATCACCCTACCACAAGGTGATCGATCCTCTGGACATCATGTACTCGAGAATGAAGAGCAAGTGGGAGAAGTCTATTCTGTTGATCATTGATCAACATGAAATCAGGTTGCCCCCACAAGCTCAGGAAGTCATAGAGTCAATGGCCAGAAACCCCAACGTTGGACATACAGAGAGATGGATGAGCGTGGTAGAACATAAGCATGTTCAAGCTCTTACCAATCGTCTAGGCTTTGGAGATAGGGCCAAGGAGATTCAGGGCAAGAAGAAGCAGGCAGCCAAGGCAACAGCTAAGTCAACATCAACGACTAAGTCTGAAGCGAAAGCAGCATCTTCGTCAAGAGCTGAGGCAAAGCCAGCATCTACACCCAGAACCGAGGCCAAGCCGTCGTCAGCACCAAGTGAGGAGCCAAAACCTTCAACAGCACCTAAGAGTTTCGGGCCCTCATCAGCAGATGAGAACAAGGCGAAGGCTGCTCCAAAAGCCAGACCACATGATAAATCACCATCCAGTGCTACCGGTGTGTTTGAGCAAGCTTTGCAGGAAGATCTTGCCGCCAACGCACATGCAACAGAAGGTACAACTTCTTCATCATCCCGAGGACATTCCAAAGGGGGAGGCCAATCTGGAACATCTTGGAGGCCGGCGCTAACGCAAGAACGTCGCGAAGTACCTCAACCTTCTGAAAAGGGGAAGGGAAAGAGCAAGTCCAAGGGAAAGTCCAAGAAGGGAGAAGATGATCGGTGGGATGCTCAGGGCAGCTGGGATCATCGTGGATGGAGAGGTTATCACCAGTGGTGATTTCTATGAACGACTATGAGGATACCATGCAAACCAGGGAGGAGATCATTCACCGGATGTTTATCTGACCTGAAACGCTATAAGTGTATCGTTGCAAATTCGGATTGACGATTTGATACCATGAGCATAATGGAAGGAAGACAATCACCGACTGTCTCTCCGACTTGCCGTTCTGTAAGTGTATCCAAACCAAAACCTACATCTTTTGAGGAGTGTGAAGTCAGTTGCCAATGTGACATCTACGTGGAAGTCACCAGTTCGGATCTACATCAAAGCGATGCTCTTTTGAGTGGATACTGAGCGAGGCCTCGTGACTGTCTCACTTGTTCAATTCGATTTTTTTTTCAAAGGTTCTGAGCCATAGTTGCACACTTTATATGTAAAAGTCCGCTTTAGTCCAGCATGTTTCGTAGTATGAGCCTCATATGAGTCTCGCGGCAAATCATACAATTTCTTTATAGCACTTACATCCCTAAATTTTCGTGTGTGATCGGAACATATTGTTGCCGTTCACATGGGGGGTGCGAATGGAAGTGCAGCGACACGTACAGTGCAACTTGTACATATATATGTACCATATGTACTTTGGCTCAAGGATCAAGCGACTAGAAAAGGTGCGGTTTCCGTTCCGACGCTACGCCGCTTATGGACCGTCAGTGATAGCTTCAAACTTCGCTGATTAAGATCCACTCGCAAATTATATATTCCAAAATAGGAGCTTAGGAGGTCCAACTTGGAACAGCTTTCTGGGGGGAGCGCATGCCTCACAATATGTGTTCAAAGTATCTCAAAGGCTCCTTGCTCAGATGCCAATTATAATTGGTGCCCCGTGCGAAAGTTTGCCAAAAGTAGTAGTCTTCGGAATTTGGGCTATGAGTATATTATTTAATATCCAAACGTACTTGGGCTCAGCAATCATATACTGTAGATTAGAGATGTGTGTTTGCTGTAAAGGTTTGTCCCTTCAAGGCGAGTTACTTGAAGCAGCTTCTGCGGCATTCAGCAAGCTGCCCAAAATTTTTGCACCGCAGAGAGACAAGGACGACAAAGGCAATCATTCAGCTTGACAGCCTTGCTGGGCTTGCTGAACCAAAACTCTTTCACCCAGAGCGTAGGATGCCAACCGCCAACAGCGACTAGGCATCTGGTAGCCCTGGTGAAGATGCAGAGAGTTCATGATGAGAGCGATAAGAGAGAATCTCCCCAAAGCAAAGGCTGCCTTTGTCAAAGATCAAGCACTGGTGGTAGTAGTCTCACGTGTTTCGGTGCTTTTTTGGCGCTCTGCGCCACTGTGCAAGTTTTGCACGGGCTTGCTTCTCTAGAGAAGCGTGATAGAGTCTGTGAATTAGTTTTACTGCCGAGTTTGTGAAGTACAGAGGCGGGCTCACCTGCTGCCAAATTTTCTCAAAGAGCTTGCTTGGCTTGTGCTCAGAGCCAGATCACAAATGTACTGACTGGCATGCAATTGTTACATTTGTTACTTTGGCTGGCGTTTGGCCAGTCGAGTTTTCAATACGTCTCCTGATTGATCCACTTTCGGCACATCAATTGCGCCACACCTCGCTCGGCCATTTCAGTCTCCATTACATTCACCTGCTTTTAGCCCCACTTTGCTTGCTTCGCGGCCAAACGTCCAGGAGGCTTGCATGGGGGTTTTGTTGGAATGCACTGTTGTCAACGGCATCTCCTACTACCAGTGTCTATCACTTTACCTCCGACCGCAGTCACAGCATGTCAGAGCATTTCCCACTTTGGCAAGACAACGGGCTCGCGCTCCATTCAACATGTTACTTTAACCGGCAAAGGGTTGGAGGTGACTTTAGCTGTAGCCATGGAACTCTTCAGAATGAAGCAAGAGCCAACATCATGTGGTTTCAACGGGCCACTCGGCAGAAGCCTTCTTTTGTTATTTTTTGTTACACCCTTTGGCCTTTAGCTTTTGCTAAGTCTGCTAAGTGATATGAGATATACAAATGGGTTGGCTCATGTTGGCTCCCAGATCAGAGGCCTGACGCACTTCAGTCTTGGCCTTTGTGTCTCACCAGGAGCGCCATTGTCCCATGCCATGCTTGAAAGCAGTCCCTCCAAGCATTCTTAGATCACAAGAGGGGCCAGCATCAGATCTCTCTCATACGTCGACAGAAATAACCTCAAGAGTGCAACAATGACGAATCACGATTCCTGCAGCTATTTGCAGGACCATACCTTTGCCTCACGATGGGAAAGCTCCACAGCAGCATACAGCAGCAGTTCTAGCAGCATTTTTTATGCCAGAGAACTTTCTGAGTATATTATGTTTGAACAATCTATATAACATACTTGACATATCGGGATGCATACTCGGCTGTTTGCCTTGAGTTGCAGGGTGCAACAGAACATGCTCATCAAGCTGCCTATATGTTCTTTTTCTTTGTCAAGAAGTCAAGCTAGATGGGTATGCCAGATGCCTTAGGTTCCCGTACAAGATCAGACCAGTTGTGACATTCCATACTTCCAGATGCGCTCCGTTTTCAGAAGTCCTGATGGTGCTGAGGGTCCGGAGACACCATCCACAAGAAGTTGCTCAGGAGAAGCTTTATGGCGAATCGCCTCGAGACAAGCCGATCTGAATTGGCAAAGAATTGCGCAGCACTTGCCGACTTTGAGGATCTGAAGGTGAAGAGTTGCTTGACGAAGAGGCCACTCCAAAGGTTCAGGCTCGCAGTCCAAGCGAAGAAAGTGGGGTATGTGCCCAACATTGCCCAACAACAGTTGAAAGATTGCAACTGGCTGAGGAAGAGCTTCAGAAGCATAATGCGAACTTCAAGATGCTCTATGACATGCAGCAACAGCTGATCGCCCCTTGACCAAAAAGACATTCACCAAGTCCTGACTTCTCGATGTTCTTATTGCACTCAGGCCACCCTTCAGGAGCAACTTCGCGTCCAAGAGATTGATTTGGACAGCATGAAGCAGGTGAATGCATGGCAGGCCTGGTACACTACCGTGGGGGCGCTCTTCCTCACTCGGCAAATCTTTAAGTTGGGTGCTAAATATTGGGCGTGTTTCAAGTGAGTGGGAACAGCTCGTTACTTTACAAGATGCTGCACAGTACAGAACCGATTTGCAGGTCACAAGCGAGTGCCTTCTGTAGAACATGCAACATGGTGTCATGCGCCTTCCTGCAAGGAAAAGGAGCTGGCCTCCTTGAAAAGCCAGCTTCAGAGGCCCTTTGACGGTGAGAAGAGGCAACGAGGGGCCAACATGGCGACATAGCTCACCTCTCTTTTTGTTGCTCTGATTGTTGTTGGTTTATGTCCTTGGATATATAATTGCATGTTGTGGTAGAATATCGCAAATACCCAAAAGAGATGACCCAATTTGCATGCCTGCCCTGCGTCCTGCAGTTTCTGAAGCTGAGACACTTGGCAGGCATTTGCCAGAACCAGATGAAGCCGAGGCCACTGAGAAGGCTTGGGCGTTGAGCATAGCAGAATGATTGATGTGGTTTCAGTGTAGGCTAAATCCTTGGAAAAGCTGAAGTCAGAGCTGGCCAAGAAGAGCGCTGAGTGGACTTTGTACCGTGAGCAGGCCCTATGGTTTCTCTATGTTTCCCATGTTTGTTGATAAAATTCCTCCCACACTGGATGCCACAGGCGGATGCACACGCCATGGAAGCAATGGCAACCTCTGTGCAAGCTGGTTGGAAGGCTAGTGGTGAGCACGGGAGGCATGTTGGTGAATGATATATCTTAAACTTGATAGCAAGCCGTTGATGATGTTGAGCTGCAATATGCTGCTACCAAAGGACGCTTTGCTTTTGTCTCATGCAAACAAGTGGCCCAGATCCATTCGTCGACATTCCTGAGTATATCAGTTCGTTGAACATCCATTTTTTTCGAGATCTCGTGCAGATGAACATGCTAAGGATAAAGCCCAAGGTACTAGCCCTGTTTCGTAGGTTGTTTTTGAGCTTACCATGTCAGGCAGCGTGCGCTTTGCCCCACGAAAGCACCGTGTCATTGCGGACATCCGTGGTCCCTGCTGACAAGACGGAGTTCAGTTTCGCCGTGGCCTCAGCAACCCCAACATGTCCTCAAGTCAAGGCTACCTTGCCAACCAAGCGCGCTGTGTCCTGACTTGCAAGGTGGAGTGGCTTTTTACAAGGTCATTGGTAAAGCATCGGCATGCTCGAGATCCATCACTGTGGTGCCCAACCGCTCGTGTCAAGGTGTTGGAGGTACAAAAGATCGAAAACAGGCCCGTGGGGCGTTAGCGGTGTTGGCGGCCATGTGTCAAGCACAAAAGTACAGAGTCAGAGGGTCAGGATCAGTCAGGTTCGGTTAGGCGGGGATAATTTCACACATTGTGTGGCAGTGTTCTGAAGTATGGAAACGCAAACCTTGAGGACATTTTTGAAGAGGTATGCACAGCGGCGAGAGGAACTATTGGAAGAAAGGGCTGGACAGAGTTGCGAACCCTTGCAAGACATCAAGACATTGATTGGAAAGTCTCTCCAGAATCGACGATCCATTGAAGAAGTTTGTCATTGCCCAGACTCTGGGGTGAACCTCAATGAAGTGCTCCTTTTTCACGGATCACCCAGTGCAAAGATCAACGGAATCTTGACCAGCGGATTTGATCCTCGATATGCTGGTCTTGGCACTGGTGCCATGTTTGGGCAAGGGAGCTATTTCGCCCACAATGCCTCAAAGTGCTTCCGCTATGCCGGCGATGATGATGTGGAACGCAAGAATGGAGGCTTGTGCCAGACTGTGCTTGTAGTCAGAGCCTTGCTGGGCAATCCACACTACCAAAGACTTATGTGCCCGGAGCGAAGAATGCCACCCGCCAACAGCGACTCGGTGGTAGCCCTTACAAAAGCCGAAGGCGGATGTGTGGATCATAGAGAGTACGTCTTGTATGACAAGGCTTCGATTCTGCCGCTCTATCTCATTGAATTTGAGCACTTGCCAGATTGCCGATGCCAGATGTGCAGTCCTCAAGATTAGCAGATCAGAAGATCCTTGCACTTCCCAAGGTCTGGCTGATTGAACTGTGGAACCCCGCTCCTCGTTTCTTTTGATTTTGTTCGAAGCTTTGCAACCTTCAAAAAGTTCCAATGTGTAATATGCAAAGTCTCGCCCAAAACTGGAGGCAAGATGAGGGAAGCACATTTTGAAGCAAGTGAGATTTGTGCTTTTGGCTTTCTTTGTGGCAAGCCGCTGCATGCCCGTGTGCAGCTTTCCTCGATACAGAATGATACAGATAACGGCACGAGTTCAGCCTGAGAGCCTGGGCTGTGGGCCGTGCCAGACAAGCTGGTACGCGGAGCAAGAACACCACCTCGCCAACAGCGACTGGTTGGTGGCCCTTGCTGAAAATCCAAGGCTGGATATGCTGGAGATGTATTTTGTGTGTTTCATTGTGCGCATTGTTTTTTGGCAGTCAGTGGGCTTGCCAGAACTTCACAAAGTTTGACTCATGTTCGATGTTTGAGACATGATATGTAAAATAACGTAACCGAGCTGCCTAGGGCCTACGCCCAGTGCTTTGTCTTGGACTTTCGGGAGAGAGAGAGAGAGAGATGGAATGAGTGTGTGAGTGAGCGAAAGAGTGGAATGTGTGAAACCTTCGTCCCGGAGGAAAGCGCTTTGAGCAACCACATTTGGCGCTCCTGGGGGCTTGCCCCTTTTGCAGATTTTGCACTCTGGGAGGGAAGAAGCAGGCGTGTGCTGTGCAGCTTGAGACTGCTTGCTGCGCCTGCTGAGCCCGAGAAGCCGGAACTCTTGCAGAGCGAAGGCCACCATCAGCCAACAGCGACTCAGTAGCCTGTAGTCCTGGTGAAAGCAAAAGCGAAGATGTCAATGATGGTGGGTACCCCCTGAAAGCAAGCCATGCTCGCCACAGACAGCCTCAAGGAGAGGTAGTCAATGTGCTCGCATTTGCGTTTGTTTTGTCTCTTCCCAGCGTGGCAGTTTGGGCTTGTAGCCACTGCACCCCATCATGCAAGTTTTGTGCAGGCTTGCTTTTGTTGAGAAACAGGAGCATGTTTGTGAATTAAGTTGTTGCTTCACTTAGTGAAGCATAGAGGCGGACTCAGCATCGCTGAAATTCGAGCTCGTAGCATTTTGTAGACGTAAATAGTACTGTAAATGCTCAGTTCGATGCCCGGAGCGGGCTTGATGTCATGAGATTCTTGATTTGGCTGGCATTTGGAGCGAGCTTTTAAACAAGTGTTGACACAAAGAAGGGCAAACGGCTCAATATGATTCTCAGCCAGTTCAGGTGTCGGTGTGTGCTGCACTTTGTGCATTCAAATGGCTTGCCGCCTCACTTGGCCATTTCAGGCTCCATTGCGTTCACCTGCTTTAGGCCCATTCTGCTTGCTTCTTGGCCAAAAGTCCAGGAGGCTTGCAGATTTATTTCCTTGAGTCCATGAATCACAAATTCAACGAGAGGTCCTA